GTCTCCCACAGTTCTTATTTGACATGGCGTTACGAATACACGAAGAACACTGCCAGTTCTCTGTAGAATACCTTGCCACAACAGTTACACAGACAGTCTAGTGAGGCCAGCATGTCAACATCACTTTACCTCAGTTATCACCTACTCTGCCATTTAAAGGTTCCAGAATTCCCCACCTAAACCAATGATGACAATTATAATGATAGATTAATTGCACGTTTGGAACAGATTTTGAGACAGCCACAGAGGAAAAAGTTGACACAGCCAAATATTTCTTTCCTTCCTTACTTTGCTTGCTGCTGTTTCTTTTATTTAGTGGGGACAGTGTGAGTCTGATGTGCTGGGTGGAACCCAAGCCTTTAGAACTCCTCCTGGCTCAGGCAGTATTTCTGAAGTTCAATTTATGGACAATCTCAAAGAATGTGAAGGCTGCCAGAAGGGTTAGAGAAAAAGGACCAAATTTACTAAAGATTTAGGATTTCTTCCAGAAGCGCACAATTAAACCTTTATATTAGAACAAGGGATAATGTCTTCCAAAAGCAGGGAAATTCTCAACTTAATCAATCAGCAATGCTTTATTAAGTTCTTACCTTGTTCCAGGCACTGTGTTACCTACTGAAGTTACAAAGGCAAAAATGAAACAGTTCCTGCTTTTAAGCTTTTTAACAGGAGGAAAAAAGTGGGGACTGTGCTGTCGGAGGAGTAACCTGGGTCATTTACTTTTTTTAAAAAGTTATTTTATTTTCAGTTCACAGAACAAAACAAGCATTTCCATAACACAGCATAATAAAAAAAGATTGCGCACGAAACCGCGAATCTACCATGTACAACTTTCTATTTCCTCCAAATATACAACAAAGCTACCATGTAAATTATTTCCCTTTTTTTTCTTCCTTCCCCTGCCGCGGCCCTAGAGATGGCTACATTACACACACTTATATGTGTGTTTATGTATGTCTATGTATGTATGTATGTATATGTATATATGTAAATTATTCCATACATATTTCTACTTATCAGTTCTTTTTTTTTTGTTTTTAGGAAGGTGGCAATGGTGCCCCCAATTTGGTCATAAGTACATAGGAAGGAAAGAGGCTGGAAGTGAACCGTTCTTTGAGGTATCTGACCCAATGCTGTGGGATTGGGGGGGGGGAGTAATGTGGGCAAAGTGCTTGGCATACTTAAAATACTACATAAAGGGGAGTAGCTGCCACTGACCACTACTACGACTGTTGGAATAAAGCAATGATACTGAGTAATGGAAATGATAAAAGCAGTCAAAAGACCAAAAGGCCAGAGCACTAGATGCAGCAAGGTGGGGTTGGGAATATTGGAAGCTAAAGAAGCAGAAAACACAGCTACTTACCGTTTGGCCTCCAGAAAGAGTGGACTTTTGCTGGGTTTTTTTTTCCTCACACTCCTATTGTTAGTTCTTTAAGGAAAGCATAATCTAAAGTGTATAACTACAGAAAATGTGATGGTAATCCAAGGCCAGCTGAAACCTTTGCATGCAGTGGTTGTCTGGGTTGACTCAGTCGGTTGGGACTGCGTGCCGATTAAGTTTGATACGTTTCATTCACAGCTGTAGGTGATATCCCAAATGGTGGCCAGCTGTCTCTAAAAAGTGGCCATTAGTTGGGGTGGGGGCGGAAGGGAGGAAGACGGAGTTGGCAGTCTAGTGTGTAAATGAAGTGACTATTTAGGGGAGAAACAACTTTAAATTCATATCCTATTGGTAAGTAAGTTAGCAGTGCCAGCATATTATTACGATGTGGCAGTTAATGTGAAAACATTTGAAAATACTTACGAATGGGTCTGCTCTAAAAAAAAGATGCTTTTTTAAATCCAGAAAGTGACTTCAAGCTCCTACTCAGACTGCCATTTCACACTGTGCTTTGATGGGGCTTGCCCCCACCCCAACTCCCTTTGATGTGTTATTGTCCTGTCCCACAGTTAGAATGTAAGCTCCTTGTGGGCAGAGCTTATCTTGCTTGCTTCTATTTGTATCCTATGTGCCTAATGCTGTGGTAAGTGCTGAGGATACAAGTGCTTAATTAATGCTCTATCTATCTATCTATCTGCAATAACCCTGGGAGATGAATCATGTAATTCAATTCAATTCAAGAAGCATTTATTAAACACCTACTATTTGCCAGTATTATTATCACCATTTTAGATGGGGAAACTGAGGCTCTAAGAGGAAAAGCTACTTACTATATATCTAGGATATAGTACCTTTTTTTTTTTTGTTCAATTGTGTCTGACTCTGGGTGACCCTATTTTGTGGTTTTCTTAGCAGAGATACTGATGTGGTTTGCCATTGCCTTCTCCAGCTCATTTTACAGATGAGGAAACTGAGGTAAACAGGCTTAAATGACTTGCCCAGGGTCACAAAACTAGGAAGTATCTGAGGCTAGATTTGAACTCATGAAGATAAGCCTTCCTGATTCCAAGCCCAGTGCTCTACCCACCATGCCACATAGCTGCCCTCCAAGGGGTAAAGTTACTTTATCCAGGATCACACGGCTAGTAAATTTTTGAAGTGAATTTCAAACCTACAGGAGGTCTCCTGACTCCAAACTCTATGCTTTTTTTCAACTAGTCCTGATATCTTTCCATTTTTAATATATTTTCAGGGGTCAGTATACAGTTTATCTAATAAAAAATTGGTTTGGGATAAATACAATTCTTTTTCAATATTATATGAAAAAGCTAATAGGATCTTTTGATCATTCAAATTGTTAACAGTTTTCAAAACTGGATATTTTGGTTAGAAAATATTTTTGTTTCCTTGATTGGATTTTTCATGAACATTTAAACTACCAACTGTGTTATAGGATGTCTTCATTATGGCTAGGAAAATAACAGACCTTATTGTTTATTTACTTGAATATATTTTATTTGTTTGAATATAATATTATATTTGTCTGAAAATAGGTCCCAAGTGGAACTTATATGAAACCTGAGTATATAACCTAATTTTACAATTTTTCAAGTGATCATTTAAAGGTTAATAATGTGCTTTATATAACATTGTTTGATATAGCCTGATTATGAAATATTTAGTCAAGTGCAAATAAACAGAAACCAAAAAATTACGCATAATGTTCAAGAGAGAACAAGACATATGACCTATGTTTTCACCTTGTATGTTTTGGATAAGGCACCAGTATCCTGTTGCTAGTCAGAATAAGGTGTGGTTGCTACGGGAAACATTTGCAAACTTTCAAATCCTGTATAACATATTTATGCCAAGGTCACATTGGTTATATTTGTTCAAGGTACCTAAATCTCAGGCAACATTTATTTCTATAAAAGCTATACTCCAGCTGTTTCACAGCTAAACCCCTGTGTAAAAATGAACCTGAACCCCTATTTTAATGAGATAGCTTCTCCTTGTTTGATTTTTGAAGTGCAGTGAAAGTGCTCTACTTGAAAAACTGGGCCAAAAGTCAAGAGGGACATGTTCTTAATGGTCATTGTTAACAAGCAAAGTTGTCATTAAAACAGTTGGAGTTACCTTTCATGGAAATAAATCTTACTCTACTGACTCAGTTAATTTTCTCTTAAACTACTGAAGATCAAGGAAAATGTTGCCAAATCTAAATCTATACTTTGGAGTGTTTGGAAACCAGCTGAAACAATTAATATTCCTCTTGTGAAATAAAAATTAGTTTTTAAGCAGTTTTATCTGGAAAACACTTTTCTCTGTATGGACTACTGAAGTTGACATATCTTGGAATTTAATGCTATCACAAACATTTTTTTTAATTGAACAGTTCTATGATCTAACAGTCTAGGCCTGACCCAGGCTGGTCAGGTACCTCAGATTCAAGATTGGAACAAAATGACACCCTTGTAGAACATGTGACCAAAAAAAGGTTTACTTAGCCCTGACGGGAAAAATGTTCAGAGCAGAGAAAGAATTTTCAGCTGAACAAAGGTTTCCTGACTATGTTGGCCATGGTGGTCTACCAAACAAGCTGAAGGGAGAAGATGGAGCTCCTCATGCCCTAGCTTTTTTTGGTAGCCAGACAAGTTGATAAGTATTTACTACCTAACTACAGACAACCAGACAGTTGATAGAGAAAGCTATATCAACTGCTCTAGCCTTTAGTCTCCTTTAGGTCTCCAGATTTCAATATTTTTAAGGAAAAGAATTAGTTTAGCCTACATGGAGGAGCACCCTGAATGACCATTCTCTTACCACATTGATGGTACTGTAGCTTCTAATGAAAAGAAACTAATAAATCACCAACTACCAACTTCTACCAAGAGCGGAGGAGGAAAAAAGAGCAATGGGAAAAACTACTCACACAAACATGGTGTAGGTATTAGCTTATATTTTTAAAGCGTTTTGAGGTTTATTAAGCCCTTGGTTAACAACAACCCTATAAGCTGTCATCAGTAATTTTTCAGTTGTGTTCAATTCTTACTGACCTTATTTGGGGTTTTCTTGGTAAAGATACTGGTATGGTTTGCCATTTCCTTCTCCAGCTCATTTTACAGATGAGGAAACTGAGGCAAACAGGGTTAAGTGACTTGCTCAGGGTCACACAGCTAATTAGTGTGTAAGGCCATATTTGAACTCAAGAAAATTCATTTTCCTGACTCCAGGCCCAGCACTCTATCCATTGTGCCACCTAGCTGCCCACAGTATAAGTAATTATACACATTTTTCAGTTGAGGAAATTAAGGTGCTTTTTCCCCATAGTCAATCATGCACACCTAGCAGGTGTTGGAGCCAGCAATCAAAACCAATTAATCCAGTATTCTCTCCACTTAACTTATTTTGTTCACATTTTATTTATTTTTGTTGTATGTTGAAGAACTATGGATATAACAACTGTGATAGTCGTGAAGATAATCTGTGAATTTGATCATCATTTCTGTGCTAGACAGATTTTTTTTTTAAAACGTTTCTTGACTTTCTGGTTTTCAAATTAGGTCATTACCATTGCCCCTCTACCACCCTTCACCTCAGATGCCAATTGTCTTACCAACTTCCGCCTCAGATGACTTCCCTTCTGCAGGCAATGGGAAGTATTGGTTGGAATGTGAATTGCTACCATATCCCAAGACAAAACCTTCTAGTTTGGTGTTTGTATCTGGACGAAGAAACTTCATGAGAATGGAGTCACCTGTGGTATTGATGTAGACTTTCAGGCTTGACTTTTTACCTGGAGGTGAGAAGAGCGAATGGGATAGGTGTTATTTTAACCCCTTTTTGGACGCCTGTGCAAACTGGGAACCAAAAAATGAGTTGTGTTTATGAAAAGTAAGCAGTGGCCCTGTTTACTCAGAACCAACCAGAAACTGTTTCCAAAACACTTTCCAGAGAAATGGCTAAAATGCAACCAATTCTAAAGTCATAGACTAAAACCAGAAGAAACTTTATTTTTTAAATAATATTTTATATTTTCCCCCAATTATATGTAAAAACAATTTTTAACATTTATTCTTTTTTAAGTTTCAACTTAAAATTCTATCTCTCCTTCCCTATCTCCCCTCCCCTCGCCCTGAGGCAGTAAGCAATCTGATATAGGTTATATGTGTGCAATCATGTAAAACTTTTCCACATTAGTCATTTTGTTCAAGAAGACTTGAATGAGAAAGAAGGAAAGAGAAAGAAAGAACCAAAGAAGGAAGGAAAGAAAGATGGAAGGAAGAGAGGAAGGAAGGGAAGGAAAAGAAAGAAAGAAAGAAAGAAAGAAAGAAGGAAGAGAACATGCTTCAGTCTATATTCTGACAGCACCATTTCTTTCTCTGGAGGTAGATAGTATGCTACCTCATTAGCCCTTTGGGATTGTCTTAGATCATTGTATTGCTGAGAATAGCTAAGTCATTCACAATCCTTCATTGTATAATATTGCTGTTGCTGTGTACAATGTTCTCTTGTTCTGCTCATTTCACTTTTTATCAGTTCATGTAAGTCTTAGAAGAGACTTTAAAGGTTATCTATTCCAACCCATCACTTTACAAATAAGGAAACTGAGACCCAGAAAAGCTACTCATCTAAGGTCATATAGTCAGTTTGTCAACTAGCATTTATTAAGCACCTGTTCTGTGCCTGGCATTGTGCTAAGAGCTAGAGATACAAAGAAAGGCAAAAAGAAGTTCCTGCTCTCAAGAAGCTTACAATCTAATGGAGAGGCAACATGCAAATGACAATGTATGAACAAGATATATAAAGGATAAATTGGGGATAATGATAGAGCCACTTCCTTCCTTAGAAAGGAATTAAGGTAGTAAATATCTAAGCCAAGATTTAAACAGAAGTTTGGCATTCTTTCTTCTACATCACACTGCCCTCAGGCAGGGGAGGGTAGTGTCAGACACTGTAAGGCAGTCTTATGTCAAGAAATGGCTGTAGACTATGCCAGTGGTATTGAGATAAACTTAACCTGGTGAGAAGTACTGTGGGATTCCAAGCATCCCCAGTTGGTTGAGAGTCTCATTTTATTTTCTTTCTGAATGAGAGTGAAGGCAATTCAAATTCTACACTGTTACTTGTGAATTCCCATACCTAGCTGATCTACTCCTAGCAGCCTTGCCCTCTCTTGATCCAACCCCATTGCCCAGCCCTTTTGGAGTAGCACAGAGGAGAGATGAGGAAGGCAATTGGACATTTTCTTTATCACTTAGTATTCCTTTTGATTTCTCAGTTATTTTTCTTTCTTCCTTTCTCACCTCTGTCTATTGGTTCACCCATTGGCCCATTCCACCCTGTTTTTACCCTGTTCTCTGAGTTACATCCTAATAGCAATAATTATGGTAACTCACATTTATGTAGTTCCTTAAAGTTCACAATGTGTTTTGTGAACATTGTCTCTGAGTGCTGAGAGGGCTACAATTACATCGGCCCACAGAACATATTCTTTTTGACCCTAGAGGTTATCCAATCAACCTTCATATTTTATAGATAGTAGCTGTAGTTAGCACTATATGTGTATATGTATGTATATATACATATGTGTGTATGTATATATATACTATATACATATGTGTGTGTGTATATATGTATATATACACTATATACATATATATGTATATACACACACAAGCCTCCATTTTACAGGTAAGGAAACTGAGGCACAGGGATTGGTGAGAGCTGATAGTTGAAAGCTTTGAAGAGACTCACCCAACATCATCAAGCTAGTAAATGTCTGAGTCTAGATTTGAACTCAGGTCTCACTCCAACATTCTATCCACCACAATACCTAGATAACTTCAGATAAGTAAACTTAAGCCCCTCAGATTTCCAGCAAAGTCAAGTTCATACAGGTAATAAGTAGCAGAATCAGGAGTGAAACCAAGGTCTTTAGATGCCAAGCATGTACCATATTGTTTATGGTTAACAGTAGCTTATGGAGGTAATGCCCAGCCACTTCCTTTCTTAGAAAGGAGGCTGTGGAGAAGGGCCAGTCAGCCCCGGCAAGTATCAACTAAATGCCACTCACTGGGCAAGCTAGGCAGCCAAGCTGAAGCAGCAAATCACCATGAAAGAGAGACAGAAGGCGTGTGCCAAGAAAATCAACCGTTCCTACAATCTTTATCACCACCTCCCTTCAGACCTTAATAATAATAATAATAGCTGCATTTAATGTTTGCAGAGTGGTTTACCTTTGTTATCTCCTTTGATCATCACAACAACCCTGTGAAATAAAAACTCTTATTATCCCTATTTTATAGATGAAAAAACTGAGGCAGGCAGGTTCACTGACTTGCTTACAATCACACAGGTACTACCCAATTGAGATGGGATTTGAATGTAGGTCTTCCTGACTCTAACTCCAGAGGTCTATGTACTGTGCCACCTAGCCTTAAAGTTGATAGCCCAGGACCCTGGGCCCCAAAGTCCCAGGAACAGCAGGGCCCCCAAACTATCAGTCCTCCTTCCAGCCCAGTCCTGTAGCCATTAAACAAGGAAGTAACCCCTTTTTTAAGATATTACCTGGTATCTTTTGTCCCCAACAGCTACTACTACTAAAATATCATTGGGGAAAAAAAATTCTCACTCCCAAAGTCCTCAGTGATGTCCAATGATCCAAAAAAAAAGAAATAGATATAGTCTTATCAATGGAAATTATATTAAAGAAGATGACATTATCATCTGTTTTGTCATTGTACCTTCCTCTCTTAGAATTTGAACTCCTTGAAAGCATAGGATGTCTTGATTTTGTTTGTATTCATACTTAGCATAGTGCTTAATAAATGGCTTTCCACCCATCTAACAATCCATTTGTTAATTCATTCTGATGCACCAAGGCAAGCTAAAGGGTTGTCTGATTTATGACTTCATTCTTTGATAGTGCAGGTCTACCCACAGAGCCAAGGGTCTCAGTTAATCCTTCCATACTTCAGATGCTTGAGTTGTGTGGCTGGTCCTCAGCTATAATTATTTTACCTTCGCATAGAATTCTGTGCTTACCAAGCACTTGATTGTAATTTTTATTAGTCTTTCATGTCTCAAAACTACCACTGGCTTTTTTAAAGTCATTTAATGTCTTGTAAGCCTGTGAAATAAGTTGCTGTTTCTAAAGTATCAATCACAGAGGAAAAAACAAAGTTTGGATGTACTAAAAGACTTCTCTGAAACCTTAAAACTTTAGAATTGGAAAGTACCTTAAACACAACATATAAACCAACTCTTACATTTGACATATGAGGAAACTGAGAGCCAGAGTGGGGAAGCGATTTCCCTAATGTCACATATGGGATGAATTAGTATCCTAGTCTCCAGATTCCAAGTTCAGCGCTCACCATTTTGTCTTATCTTATCAGGACCAAGCCCTCCACCATATTTCCTGGCAATTCTCCCATGATGTCATCTGCTTTTCAGCCATCTCCTTCTCACCAGAGCCTTGTACTCTGTCCCTAGGTCCCCTGACTCTGACAGGTGAGAGCTTTTGCCATATTTTTCCAGGACCTCTTCTCCATTTCATGGCCATTTCTGCACTAATCTGGTTCTTCCCCAACTCCCTTCCCTCCCTTTATTTGTTATCTTCCCTCACTAGAATATAAGCTCCTTGAGGGCAGGTACTGCCTCACTTGCTTCTATTTGTGTCCCCAGCTCTTAGTACAGTGCCTGGCACATAGTAAGTGCTTAATAAATTCTCCATCTGTCATCTATTATTTATCTAGCTATCTCACACAAAAAGAAAGGAGCACTAAACTTTGAATCAGAAGACCTGGATTCAAATCCTTCTTTTGTCACTCATAGCTATATGACTTTGAGTAAGCCCCCTGAGTTTTTATCTGTAACATGAGAATAATAGTATTTGCACTACTTCATATGGTTCTTGTAAAGAAAGTTTTTTGTAAACCTTTAAGAGATATATAAAAAGGTTGTCATCACTATTATACCATACAGCATATGACTAAGGGATAGAACTGGGATTAGAATTTAGAGACTTTGAAAACTCCTAGCCTGTTTTCTTTCTCCATGTATACTGAATTTTGTGGCTCTATTACACTGGGAACTTGGACATTATCTTAACAGTGACATAAGGAGTCAAAACTTCAAATTTTAGCATCTAAACAGATTTTTCTTGCTTATCCTTTACTTTCATATCAGAAGACTCTCACCGTAAGATGATTTATCCTTCAAATACTGCACTCCATAAACCAAAGCCAACATTCCCATGCCCAGTGATATGTCCAGTTTGTGGGTGGTTTGGGCATACACAGTATAGCTAATTAGGCACTGTTAATCAGTGCTACCTCATGTTTTGGAATAGATCTAGGACTTTGTGCTTTGATATCCTTTAAGGTGACTGCATCACCTAAGGTCCAGCTTCTCTCCACTATATCTGAAAGAAAGCCTTAAGGAGGTAAGGGGAACCTGCAGCCTTGGGGCCGCATATGGCCTTCTAGGTCCTCGGGTGCAGCCTTTTAACTGAGTCCAAGTTTTACAGGACAAATCCTTTTATTAAGGGGCTTTGTTCTATGAAGTTTGAATTCAGGCAATGGGCCACATTTGAGGACCTAGAGGGCCTCATATGACCTGGAGGCTGCAGGCTCCCCATCCCTGGCTTCAAGAAACTAGCAAAAAGATTAAATCAGTCAGAGTGGCTCTTGAATGAAAGGCAATATCAAGTCTGCATCACAACAGTCCAAAGACTCTGATGGTGTTGCCACATCAGTCTTTCCCTTGGGAAAGATTAAATGATGGCTGTGC